CTAGTAACTTCAGGATCTATTTTATAATCAGCTTTTAAGATCCAGTGAAAGTCTGTACTCTGAAAAGATTGAAAACTAGATTGAGCAAGTCTCTGAAAAATAGATTACTCAAAATATTGTATTGGGAAGAAGATGCAGAAGTGGACCACTAGTAACACATAAAATAGATGTATACGTGTTTATATATATGCATGTATATATATATCTTCATAGTTTTACACATTTTTTTTTTCCAAACAAAGATCCTTGGTTCCAAAGTGTTTATAGTCTCTAACATCAAAGAAACACAGGACACATGTAAGCAGTCCACATAAGGGAGATTATTTAAATTATACATGAGGGCAGAATGGGATGGATTTCTGGGAGGAATAAGCACTCAGGAAATATGATTTCAAGGAAAACAGAAAAAGTTCTTGCTAGGCAAGAAAATGGAAACTTTCCCATCTTAAGGGATTTAGTGACTAATAATTGGAAAAGATAACGGGAAGAAAGAAATGATTGGTTGAAGAAGAAGTTGTAAAGCCTGCACAAAACAGAGACAAGCAGAAAGCAGTTGGTGTTACAAACCTAACATCTGTCAAAGATTAACATGCAGTATTACATGAAATCATAATTATCCTCTACACTTAGAAATTCCTATAGCAGTGTGTAATCAATGCAGATATTTTCAGGGAAAATTCCATGAGGAAAAAAAAAATAGTAATTACTTAAGTGCTTGAGGTTAAGAGAGCAGAACTGTGTTTTATGCAATGAGTTCTGACCTGAGACACAGAGAAGTCAACAGCTCTGGACTACAAGACCTCAGGTCCAGATATTAGTAAGACAGAGTTGATGCATTCAGGGTTTGGATGACCTGGAAGATGGAGATGTGAATCCCAGTGAAAATGGACAGAAAATTGCTGCAGAGCCATGATTCTGTGGTGGGGTAATAAGGACAGCTTTAAGTGCATTGAGAACAAGAAACAGAATGAGAACAGGAAACAAAGAGTGAAAACGTAAACATGAGGGGAACAAGGAGAGAAAATCAGAGGTGATACAGGGATTGTTGTCCTAGAAGTTGAAAGGCATAAAAAGCCATTAAGAAAGAATCATGCAGAGCTAATACTCACACATTCAAATATGTGAATATCCTTGTGTGAGAGAGGAGGGAAGAGGTGTGTGGAAAGAAGCCTATGAGAATATCATAGGTGTTATTGTATGGGAAGAAATAGCAATATTTAATAAAAGACGAGCCATTAATAGGTACTTCTTGCCATATGCTTAAACCTTGGCCACCTTAAACCCTGGCTATCTCTAAAAAGCTTGTTGATGAAGTTGTGTTGATGGTGCTTGTACCTCCTCTGAATGGAGATAAAATATTTACCAACAAGCAGATTCTTGAATTTATGGTAAGAAGAATAAAGCCCAGATTGCTTTCACAGTCTGAACTTTTATCCCTTGCCAGAAATGAGTCTAGTAGTGTACAACAGTGAGTAGCAGCCTTGGATTTCATCACCAGGAAGGTGATCACAGTCTGAACAGCTCAGTAAAGTACATGACTCCTAGCAAGACATATTCTTTCTTACTGGCTGGTACAGATGTGAAAGTCTGTGAAAGACTGAACGTTAAGCTGGTTGCAAAGCTCTAGCAAATCATTCTCCTGTCTGCATAGTTGGTTTGTGCATTACACCTGCGAGTGACAACTAGATATTTGTGAAATGGTTTGTATTTGTGACAGCCAAAATTAAAGGGATCTATGAGGCCTATGAAATCCTTCAGGGAATCAGGGAAGCCTGTATTGTGCTTAAAAAGGAATCCAAACCTAGTGTGTGAATCAGAATTCTGCTTTGAGCAGTTCCAAGGTTTTGATGTGAGATCCTCTTTTAACAGGTTTTTTGGCTTACACTAAGGGTCTGGCAGTATCTGGCAGACAGTGCTGCCCTTTTCATCTTGCTTTTGTTTGTAGTCCTTTGGGGAAAGGGCTAAAATATTTGGAATATAACCTTTCTAAGTGTTCTTGGTAGCATGCTCAGAAATATGGAAGGATTATTTGATAGAAGTTTTTCAGCATTCTGGTGCCTGCAGAACCATGGCTAATCTTTCTAATCTTCTTTATCTAATGTAATCTGGATATTCTATCCTATCTGTATTTATGTATCTTATGCTGAAGCCGCACTGACAGAAAGCTCTAAAACGCCTATTTTTGTTTCTTTCCAACAGCTGGCTGTCCGGATTCCTTGATTAAAGAGCTTCATCACTTCAGGATTCTGGGAGAAGAGCAGGTGAGTTAGCATCTCAAAGGCAGCGTCTTAATGTCATGGAAGATAGACGCTAATGAGACAGTTTCATCTCTCTCCAGGGAGGCAGAGTGTATCTCATGACCCCCAATGACCTGAAATGTGGGGAGAAAAACACACAGGAGATATATGTGAGATTTTTTTTTTCGTGCTATCCATCAGCCTTGACAGGTTATTAATTGGTACATCTGCTATCTGCCACAGCTTTTTGGCTTTTACTGTAGCAGTAAACAGGCTCTCTAAAACAGCAAATAGACAAACAATCTGAGTAAGGTATTGAGACTCACAGCTACCTGTATTATCTATCTCTTTTTGTGGCCTTTTTTCTCTTTTGAAAGTGTGTTTCACTCGTAATTATAGCTGTGCTTTTTACTCAGAAAACTATTTCTGTAAGAGGGATCTTAGGAAAGCATAAGTGGAGTATGCTTGACAACACTTACAAGATAGCCACAGTTACTATTTTGTCAATAATGAAATTAACATACAGAGCTATTGATGGAATGGCCTTAAATTTTGAGAGATAAGTTGAATTTCCAAATATCCCATGTTTCTGAAGTTCAAGCTGGTTTTGAAGTCTCTCTCCTAATGTCCTGGTTATGAAGTCTAACTGCCTGACATAGAGTTGCAGGTTCTAGGGACCAGGGGTCTGAAAGCTCATTAGTGTGTTGTGCATGAGAATATCTGCATCGTTAAATGAACCTGGCACCAAAGGACTCTCATAAAGTTATGTGAGGGCTGTCACAGAGGTGAGAGAAGTTCCTGAAATGTTAATTCAAAGCCTTAGTTTCTTAGGGTTTTAATCAGATAATATTGTCAAGAACACCCTATTGCTTCTTTCCCTGACATTCTCCCTTTTTTATTACAGTGAGGGAGGCTGGTACATTTTCTCGACTTCCAGTTTTCTTCTATCAGCCCCCCACCTCAGTTGTTACAGAAAGTCAAACGCCAGATTCCTCAGGGACTCAGCTTTTTCCTCAGCAAGAGGCAGCATAAAAGGGAGTGTGGGAGGGTTTGTCTGACAGGAATGTAAAAAAAGGACAGAGAGATACTGGAAACAGGGACCTGTTGAGATTGAGGATTTAGGAAAAAAAAAATAAAAGAAATTATGACCAGGATTGATGGGACCAAGAGACTCATTAGATCCAGCTGACAAATGGAGGGCAGAATGAGGTGAAGCTTGGGGACACTGGAGAGATGGGAGTGGCTGGTGGAAGAGGGTCGAGATATCCTCTGGGAAACCAGAATGGTAGGCATAAGTGTCTGACAAGGAGCTGGGGCCAAGGGCTGGAAGGGAATGACCAAACGAGGAAACTTGCTAAATAGACAGGTAAATAAAGACAGACCTGTACTTAATGAGCTGCATGAGGAAGTGAAGCTAAGCAGAGTAGGAAGAGTGGGATGAAAGGACAGGTTTGAGGGAAAAGTAGAGAACAGCTAAACCGAGAGACTGTGAGTATGAGGGCAAGGGCTGAACCAGGCAGACTTTGATAGCTTCATTGTCAGAGCTCTGAAGATCAAGTTGTGGACCTTCAGCCTTGCTAATGACCACTGACAGGGCAATGTGATTTAACTGATGGACGTTCTTTTATTTTCTGTTTGCTTCTTAGAAAAGGAAGTGGTAAACATAAAAATGAAGGCTAAAAGAGTTGAGTGCAAATGAAGAGTTCAGACATTAGGAAATGTCAGATTTAAGATTGTTTATGTAATCATGATACTTTCTTTCCTTTTTCCACTCACCTACACTTCCACCTTTGCACTAAGAGGGTATTAAATTATATGATCTTACAAACTTCAGCAGTCAGATGATGTAAACCATGACGAATCACAGAAGAAAAGACAATTTCTGTCCAATAATAAGAAAACTCTTGAAGAGTGTAGAGGAGTTTGATGAGTAAAGCCTTGCTAATCAAATAAATAGAGTATTTTTGCTACCTGGAATTTTTTTGTTGTTTTTTCAGACTTTCATAATTAAATCATTCCTCTTTGTGTTGAATACACCTAAACAGATGAGAAATTTTTGTCATCGTGCATTAGAAGCATAAAACTATGCAGGTGGAAAGTTGTTTTTGCAGAATGGGTCTAGCCTATAAACATTTGCCTTTCTCTGAAACTGGCTACACTAACAGGTTATTTGCATACATTGGTTGTCATTACAGTTTTAACTATTGTCTTTGCAAATAGTGAATATTGCCATTGCTTGAATTATTCCATAAGTCCATACAAATATAAAGAAAATTACAATTATATTCTGTCCCTACAAAAGTATTGTTATAACGTGTCTACTGATGTCCACTACTGTAGCTCTTACTTGAAGTTAGCACACTCTTTGACAGTTAGGGAGAATCTAAGTTTGCCACTTTGACAGTTAGGGAGGATCTGGTGCTAAACCAGCGTAAAAAAAAAATTAAATTACATCTAAATTAAGAAAGGAAACAATTTCAGGCAAAGTCTTTTATTCACATGGCTAATTATTTCCTATATTTATTTAGTTATATATTTGTTTTGAAGAAATATGTAAAGTCTTTCTCTGTTATTATGCATATTAAATAGAAAAATGATAATTAATTCTAACATTATTTTATTCAGAGTGCTTAAAGTTTCAGTGTTATCAACTAACATATATTTTCTTCCACTCCAAGCAACAGAGAAAAACTAACAGGAGCGTGTTACTGCTTCATGTCCAGTCTTGATTTATTTTTAAAATGCTTATGTATTTAAGGCCAGATTATAAAAGCAGAATGGATTATTGTGATAATCTGTTCTGATCTCCTTTAGAATACACATTACATGACTTTCTTGGATTAATTCTCGTTTAAACTGGAGTATATTGCCTAGAATAGCATCCAGTCTGTGTTTACAAATCACTTGTAGACATTAGATCCTATTATACCTCTCAGTAGTGAAAGACAAAATATTCCCAGCCTCTTTTCTTTCCACCCCTCTATCAGCACCGAAATGCTCCTTGTTTTGCATATCTACCATTCCTCAGTGTCCAGATCCTTTACATTTCCAATTCCCTTTGTCTTGTCACAAAGCAATAGGTGATCATCATAATAAAAATTTACTTCAGTCTATGAATGCAACTCAGAAAAAGCTACCCTACCCCTAAACCAGGACTAAACCAATTGCTTACACATCAAAAGGGAGCCTGTTTATCTGGGTAGGCTGTCAGCTAACTATGTTTCAGACAGAATGAAGGAACCTTTCAGTTTGGAGTGGACATTCCCAACTAGAATTTGTGAGTTCTAGCTGAGCCAGCAGCTGCTCAATAAGGAATATAATTTCTCTTCTGGAGATTTCTATTTATTCATCTAAGAGGTGCCTTAGTGTTCTGGACACATAAAACAGTCTCCTGGGTGTGTAAAACTCCCATGACTTCTGTTCTCTCAGAACTGTACATTATGGGAAATTCACTCTAGCTAGAAAGTTTATCTTTTAAGGTTTAGTTGGTGACAGCAAGATAGTTTTTAAAGAGGGAATTGGTTTTAGGCTGTATGGAAAGAGGCAATAGTATTTGTGGTGAAATAGAATACAAGTTTCCCTGGTACACAATATGCATTGTGGATACCTATCTTAGGTAACAACAGCTTCCAGGGCAACTGACTTAATGTGCAACACAAATATATTTAGTAACAGATTGCTCCCCCACTTGATACTTGACCCTTTGAGCAGGTGCCAGAGAGTCTGACCTAGAAAAATCTCCAAAAGCGGTTTTGACTGGTTTATTTTGGACCTCCTTTTCACAGACCCTCTCACTGCACAAAGGTCTCCACAAGGCAGAGAGTCCCCTGGTGATGCAGTCCCAGGGAGGGTAAAACCTGAAGCTTTGGAACAGTCCTTAGCTCTGCTGAGCTTTTTCTTTTTTGCAATTTGATCTCTCTCTTCATAATCCATGCATTTCCCCTAGTATTATGGATGCAGTCCACCCTGCTGGCTAAGCACAGATACCTGATCTATACTCAGGATTGGGATGAATTAACTGGGGAGCCTACTGAAAAATAGCAAGCCATAAGAAAGTTAGTCTCCTGCAGGAGCCATTTGACCTGTCAGGCTGTCTGTCTCTGCAAGTAAATGCAAATGGTTCTACAAATGGTACAAGCTGCTTACAAAAAATATGTTAAAGGTGCACTAAATAAAGGCTCTGTCCAAATACAGTGGAAGGCAGGTAATTCAACAAGCCAGTGCCAGAGACAGCAGAGAGAACACTTCAATTCCAACCCACACACTACAATATACCAACACAGCAAGATGACTTGCGGTGATCTGTTGTGGAGTCTCCCTAATAACTCGCTGAGAAACTTCCCTCTTCTCCCCAAAGTGATAAAAAAATATTTTGTTTAATTGTTTAAATGGAATATTGAGATTCATTAATAAAATAGCAGCTACGTCTGAAGGCTGGAAGGGAAAATAACACAGGAGTTAGCAATCTGCTGCTATACCTGAGTGCCCCCAACAGGTCACAGCACAGATGAAACAGAGGACACGCTAGTGGCAGGAAAAGATCCTGCTAAGTAATGTATAGTTGTGCTTCCCTGCTATATCATCTGCTCTGACAGCTTTGCAGAGTGTATTGGCCAGTTTCTTGATATTTTGACAGGGGAATGATCAATTTTAACAGATTTCTCCTATCAGCTGCTACTGCAACTCATATCACTGCTCATTTTTTCTTTAGAAATGTTATGCACATTTATATCCCTGGAATCTAAGCAAGCCTGAATGGGGACATTCCTTTGGGTTTGGTTTGGTTTTGTTTATTTTTTTCTTTTCACATTTCCTTGCCAGCTGGGGTAGACTTAGGCAAAGGAATACCCTGCTTTGAAAATCTGCAGATGCACATCTCCATGCTGTTCAAAGGTGGTCTGGACTTGGCGTAGGTTTTGCTGCGAGCTCCAACTTTAGGATATATGGAAATCTAGTATTAAAAGAACACAGTGTGGACAGAAATCATATAATATTAAGTTTTAAGGGAATTTGTATACAACATG